GTTTTTCAGAGCAGACATTCTACACTCCCTCTCCATTTTCCTAGACAAAGCAAACCACACATAGCGAAAAAAGAAACAAATGAGCGTGGGTAGCGTTTGAATGCTACACACATCCATTAAGGTATATCTTAATTTGGTTGCCCTGTATTCGATTGTTAAGCCAAAAAACTGGAGTTGTTTCAACTCACTCCTCTTTCTTCTCTGCGATGAAAGGGACTGTTTTGATGCTGTATTATATTAGAAGGTCTTGAGCTTTACACGTGGCCATCACGCGAGAAATTCGTTAAGCGTGTGATTATCGTGGAACAGAGACGCAAATTAGCGTGACACCCAACACGCGACAGAAGCCGGCGGTTCGAAGCGCTCTGTTGTTCAAAGACTCAGACCTACTTGGGGCAAGACCATAAAAAAATATGTTACCAGTAAAATTAGATTGGTTTCCCGATATATCAACTAAGTTATATTATTGCGATTTTTACGTTTACAGCGACTATGATATACTTCCTCTGCGGAATGCAAAGAAAACAGGACGAGTTTCAGCCAATCTTACCACACGGACAATGAATAAAAGGCCAACTAAAAAACACTGTGTCTTGTTATTAATGTCGTTTCTTTTAATTTTTAGGAGAGAAAAAAACTTAATTTATTCTCTAAGTTTTATGCATAATTAAACATTAAATTCTTTATCAAGACTATATATATCTAATCATTGAGAAAATGGAAGGGCAGGAGTGCTACAGGATTTTTGCGGAATTCGCGCTAATAATAATAATAATTTACATTTATATAGCGCAAACCTTTATATGCATATATTCAGTTGCGCTAATGGACTGGACTGGCTCTAACGCAATAAACTCGAGTTGTCCTTAAAACTTTACAAACTGCTTAGTGGTCGTCTAAAAAGGACCGCCTTAAGATCGGCCAGTATTTAATCACTATGATTCCCCCCCCCCCCCCCCCNTTCCCCCCCCCCCCCCCTCCCCCGACATTTGTACTTGCACGTTTTGAGTGCACACCCACATATTTCAAACCTTGACACCACAGATCGGTTTCTGGTCGGCTTTTTTTCTTTCAAAATCTAGCGTCCAGCCCAGGCATAAGGAAAAAATGTACTTACAGAAGCTAAAAAAGCTGTAAATATGAGATGATAAAATTTTAGTGGAATTCATTACAAACTGTTTCAATGAGGACGGCAAACAAAGTAACAAATTTTTAGTCATGAATAAGATATTTGATAATATACACATTATCATTCCATATGCGTTAGTGCCATCTCTCACTGAAAGCATAACCTTCCTGCAAGTACAGAGTGTTTTCACTCACGTGGCCAGCATCTTTGCAAATTTAAAGGAACAACAAAAAAGGGGTTTACATAAGAAAAGAGTTCAACTCTCTCAGGATTAGTTTGGAACACCAACATGGCCGCCGTCATGTGAAAACGCTCTATTCTATTTTAATTAAAAAAACACTTTTCTCCAGTACTGATTATCACTTGAATGATTATCAGATGCGTTCTTAACTGCCAGCCACGCATGTACTTCAACTTTCTTTAATACCTACTTCAAAAATCAATGAAGCCACTGTTTGTGTGTTCATTGACGGCACTTCCCTTGCTGTTTTTCTATCCTCTTCAGTTCTAAACGTACTTTCTTGCGGACGATTTGCATTTGAGTTTCTTAGGAATTTGGAATTACAATTTGAAATTTACCTGTAAGATCAAAGGGAAAAGTAGGAGTCACTTAGAGTGCTTTCTCAAAAGTCTGAACTGAACTATCCTGCAATCAGGTGGTTGCACTTCCCTTTTTGTTTGGGAAGTGAGGGCAAAAGGACACCTCTTTTTTCCCCTTCCCTCGCCCGCCGACTTTCGCGCTATCTCCATATCGCAGGTTACAGTCAGACCGGTCGTTTTGAAAATGAAATATTAGACCTTCCTCAAAATCTTTACTGAAACCCATCACTGCTGTGCACACCATTTAGGAATAGTAAACTGATCTGGCTGAATAGTCCTGATTAATAGTGGAATTTCCCTTACCATTGGGCTGGTCGGTCTCTTACAAATGGTATGCACCCTTTGTAGGTTACTGTTTACAAAAAAGAAGTATGTTGCACATATAGAGTAAGTGCAGCTATATCTTTTGCTTGGACAGGATCATAATGTACTGGAAGAGAGACTGTGTGAAAAGAGTTGGAACAATGTCAAACTGTGCCTTGGGATCGGTTCCCTTTTCTCTTTTGCTGTGCATTTAATAAACTTCATTTGGTGAGAAAAGTTTTTGGATTACTTTCAGGATCATAGGATTAGATGGTATGAAGTGCAAGTGGTTAGGGGAAAAGATTTTCGTTGGAATTTTTGGCTCAACTTTACATAGTTTTTTGTATTCTACTCAATGATTCCAGTTTAACTCAATCATGATAATTCAGGAAAGGTTTCAAAGATCCTGACTCCCCCAGCATCAGTTAGACATCAAAGTTGTTGGTGACCAGGCTTATGCATGTATGCTACTATAATCATACTGTCTCCTTCTCCTACTGTAGGTCTTTATGACTTAGAATTCAACGCATGAAGCTCTGAAAATTCAAAATTCAACTAAATATGTAGATTAACATGTAGCAATCATACATACATTTAGGCATAGAGAGAACATCAGCACTGACTGAGCAAGTAAGGCCAAAGTTTGATAGCGCTCCTCGAATAAGACCACATGGGAAGGCCAAGAACTGAAACAGAACAGACACACTTGGTTCTTTCTCTCTTCTTTGAGAATCATGACACATGGAATACTCTTGTTTTTCACGAGTAGATGAGTCTATTTTAAGAATCTTCGGCAACATACACGAAGAAAAGCTCTAGACATTAAATTAAGCCACCCAGCACTGAGAGAAAAGCTTTCACGCACATATGCCAATAACGCTGTCCCAGACAAAATATGCTCATAAATTTCTTTTCAACATGAAGAAATAGTTGTTCAGTTTTTTTCCAAGTTGAATTATTGCAGGAACTTTGAAGTCAGTGCAATTTGCAATCTTTATAATTTGTCTTTAGGATTTTTTTTCTCTTTTAATCACACTACCGGTATATAAATTAAAAATTTAAGAAGGGTAAAATATCCACAAACCTTACGAGCCTCCTCAGTGTACTGTTTCCCATCTGACATTTGAGTTAACAACTGGAAGTTATTATCCTGAAGTACATATGTACCCTTCACAAAAAGACAAGAGAAGTTAAAACAAAATCTTCGCCGTTCAATCCAGTCTAAGTTTCAATGGCTGTTAAGACTGGTTATCAAACAAGATGAAAGAGTGTATAAAGGGTAAAGCATCATTCGCAGGTAGAGCCTTTTTTTCTACTAGGACTCAATCTATTCAGTTGAGAGACTGAAAAAAGATGAGACATATAATATCATTTCTTGATAATGTAGATTGTTCACGAGATTTGACAACCATCCAACTAGAACATAATCAACTCATTACAAGTAAAAGGCTAAAATTATGCACTGCTTATGCCTAAAAAAAATGGCCAGACAATTTGGAATTTAATAATTTCCTTAAATGGGACATGATGATCCTGTTTAATGATGCAAAATGAAACCTAGAAAAAAGGCTAAGGGCAAGACAGTAAAATTTGGTGGCCACCCCCAAGTCTGCAGGGCTGTATACCTGGGGGAAGGGGGGAGGGGGAACTCCCATATAAAAGTGACAGGGATGTGGGTGTGGCTCAAGCTTAAACTGATCCCTAGGGGAGATTTCTGTGTGGTCAGTGAAAGGGCAATTGAATAGAGCTTCACTAATCCTTTGGGCTCTTCAACCACATGACATTTAAACCAATGGCAAATAAGTTTTATATACCTTTTTCACTGATATGTTTTGCTATTGCAATGTAGAACAGGTGGCAATACTCAAGGGGGCCTTTTATTCAGACCAAAATTCTGGAAATTTTGGTTAGAAATCAAATGGAATGGACCATTCCGGTTCGGTTCGACCAAAATAAAAGTGACGGGGATTGAGATCACCTTTCAAAGTGATCCACTTTGACCAGTCTGGTCATTTCAGTCAGTCGAAGCGAAATGTCTGTAATTCCATTTGACAAAATTGTTGTCCCAAGTACCACTCTTTTGTATCCTGGAAACAAGTACAATAACCCAATGCGCAGTACCTTGGCTCGGGTCTGTGGAACCAGAATATACTGTTCCATTGGGTACATGGAATTTCCGAAATTTCAAACCCCAATTTTTTGTTAATGGAAAGCACCATTTCTTTCCAACAAGACAAAGGATCCAATGTCTTGAGAATTTCACCTTAGCTGCAATGAAGCAACAAAACAAACAAGTGATATGGTCTATTAATCAGATACATACCTGATGGTTGGTTCTTAAATTATCAATTTGCTTTTTATAAACCGCTGTCCAGAAATCTTTACAGATGTATTTCATGATCTCTAACTCGTCTTTAAAGCGGGGAGAATCTTTAGTAAACCTAACGAGAAAATGTACATATGTATCCTGTTAAAAGTGGTCTTATGAAATAAGCGGACGACTGCTTCCAAAGCTGAGTTAAATATGTTAGATGTCACTTTACCATACGTCTAACAGCAAACTTAAACAACAAGTGGTCGTTCCTCTCTCTTACCTTTCAACTAGTCTTTGTCCAACGCTGAAACCAAGTCTCTCAAGGTTTTGAATAACATCATTCTACAAGAACAAGCCACACTCACTAAAGCTCAATCTAATGACAATATGAGTTTTCATACCTTTGCAAAGCAAATTTCTCGAATACACATATGATTAACGTATATTTTTTATAAGGAGCTATTCAAGGACCAATTTTGAAGCTGTAAATACACTTACGTCGATATTTTTTCCCGGTTTATTGAGGAAATAAGCTACGATTTCCATGTGAATAAAATCGAATAGTGATTCAACATCCGCCATTTTGGAGAACCTCAAAAAAAGTCGGGGGTTGGGCCCTAGTCTTCTCCAGTCTGCGCTCCATGCTTGATTAAGATGGCGTCTCCGTTGCCCAAAAGGAAACGTTTCTCACAAACAAGCGATAATATTAGAAGATCCACTGCAGATAAATTGAAACTATTTGAATCAATACGCGGTAAAGAGGTTGCCAACACTCCGTTTTGGGACATAATTGTCATCACTGCTTTGGACGAAAGCCAGAGAGATGCTTATGACATTCAACTGCAATCCAAACTTTCCAGAGGTGAATTACCTTTAGGTGTAAAGTATCACGTGTTTTATGATCCACCTGGGCCCAAGATAGGTAATGGCGGCTCTGTACTTGTCACGATTGGTGATTTGTTAAAGATTTATAACGAAGAGGAGTTGATGAAGTACAAGATTTTAATGCTTCCGGCTGGAGGATACAGCCAAAGATTGCCAAACGCTAGCGTTCTTGGGAAGGCATTCACTGCTCTTCCAACTGGTACGTATGTTAACCCTTTGGGACCAGCCGGCCCTAAGTGTCTGTCGTAAGACCGATTTAGACGATACGATTTTTGCTTATAATGATAATGATGATAAGCATGAGTCCGGGAGGAGGGTTGGGGTGGGGGGGATTGCTCCCCTATAAAAGTGATGGGGGTGCTTGTCGTACCCTTAGGGGTTTAAATTTCTGGATTGGTATGGCTTAGGGTACTAAAACCTAAAATGACTGCTGCCATAGTTGATAAGCTTTATTAGCATTTCAAGGACTTTCAAAAAGTCCTTAAGAAAAAAGTGTTCAAAAATTACCTTTATTACTATTAAAATTTGCAGTGCCAGTTAAATAATTTGTTGTTGTTGTATTGGTACCTCTTAGGGGTGGAAATGAATTTGGGACACACCCATAAAACAAGATTCTGGTATCTTTTAGGGGTGTTCTCAAAATTTTCCGACGATCACCCCTTTCACTTTTAAACGGGAGTGTCCCCCGGGGCATACGTCATGACTTTATGACAGATTGTGTCTTGTAAATTAGACCCATGACATTCATACAACACATTGTGGATGTCGTAAGTGAAAATTGTGTACATGTGGATAGTCGAAGTCATGACATATACTAGTTGCGCACAATAGTCGTAAGCTAAAATCTTACCATTTAAATTGGCCTTTAGAGAGATTTCCATCCTATAGAGAGTCGAATAAAAGGAGTAAAGAAAGACAGGGACCAACTCTAGGTGTCTGGGCTAGATTGCAGAATACCTGACCCACTAAATATCTAACTTAAAAAACTGCTGCCACAGTCACCTGATTTGCATGATAAATTCTGACTTTAACTGGGGGAGTGTGGGAGAACTAGTATGCCTCATTCTGTAAGCACACAAGTTACTTGACATTGACTGTGGGAGTGCAGGAGTGCGGGATCACTAGTTGTAAACCCACTCAATATTCACTTTTCGGCGACTGCAGGAGCACTTGTTTTAGTCACTTAGATTTAAGTGCTCATCAACTACTGGACTGTGGGACTGTGGGCCCAGCATGATAGAACACAAGTGCAGGACTGTAGGAGTATATGCTGAAGACATGTTAAGACATGATAAATAACATGCAATTTTGCAATAATAACTTAACATTACAATATAATAACTTACAATATAATCGTGAGCTTGGAAATCTACTGTACATGCGATCATATACAAGGATATAAAGAGAAAGACTAAGTATACTTAAATTATGCTTTTTTGGACAAGTAGGAGCAAATCCTTAGAACAAGGTTGCTTGCTCAATTGTTGAATGAGTATATCAAATTCAAAGATTAAAATTGATTATCCCAATGAGATCAAATCAAACAAGATATAGTCCTCTTGAGCATAAAGCAGTTCATGGGGATATAAAAATTCCATCACAGCATTGCCTATATGTACCCAGTTGTTTCAAAGGTTACAGCCACACACATTCCTTCATGCTCATAAATTTCAAAGTGAAGTACATAGAATGCAATTTTGTTTTCTCAGGTGATCCTCCATATCAAGTGATTGAACTTCAGATAGCTATGTTTATGGATCTTCCATCACGGATGAACCCTGGTCTCTTTGTGGTTGCTTCAGATTGTATTGAGCTGTTTAATAGTGAGGGAGATTGGTCTCTTACAAAGCCAGGCTTCACAGCATTAGCTCATCCTTCTCCTGTTATCATTGGTACAACTCATGGTGTATTTGTGCTTGCTGATCATGAGGTGAAAACTCATATTGCATTTACTATGTCTTGAAGAAGCACTATTTGTGGTGTATATGAAACAGCAAATTTTTAGTGATATTGGTGCTAATTTGGGTCTGTGAAACTTTTTCAGGGATGGGAGTTAATGTACAGTGTAGCTAATTTTATGTGGAAAGAAACTATTCTGTTTTAAAATAAAAAAATGATAAGCCATTTCTACATTGCAATAAGCCTGTATTTCAAAGCAAGGTTAAGTACAAAGGTGATTTTTTATTCTCGTAAAAAATAAATTCATTTTCACAAAAGAAGAGTTGCACTTAGCCTTGTTTTGAAAGTGAGAATTCTTGGAACTCGGAATTAATGGCTTATTTATTACAGCACAAGTAAGGAGTGAGGAAGGGGGGCAAGAGTGGCAAGTCGCAGACTACTTGGACAGTGGTGGGGCCTAATTATCCTGCATTGTGTTCACACACAGGAATTGTTATTGAGCTGGTTTTTGTCTCATGGTTCTTTTCAAATAGTGTTTTTCTTTGGGCTCCCAGGTCCAATTCAGCCTGAGATTTGACCCGGGGTTTGGGGGAGGGGGCATACTCAACAAAGTTTTGCACCACTGTTAGGTAGAGCTTCCCTGTAGTGGCCATTATAGCTAGTACCCCCTCCACCTGTGTGGGATTCAAAGGTCATGGGTTTGCCAGTCTACAAAGACTTGAGTGCCAGTCTTATAATAATAATAATAAAGTTGATTGATTTTTTAGAAAAAACATTTTTGTACAATTATATTTTTCTACAGTTAAATATTTAACCTATATTTCCTAAGAGTGATATTTTTATAAGTAATAGCATGATTTGTAGTGATATTTGGCATAAATACCATGAGTGATATTTCAAAATTGTTATACCTAATTTCACGAGCCGTTAGGCGAGTGAAATTTTGAGACAATTTTTAAATATCACGCGTGGTATTTGTACCAAATATCACGTACGAATCAGGCTATTATTTGTTTATACTACTACCCGCAAAAGGTTTGTAATTTCCACATGTAGGTATTTCAAATTAAGCTGAAATACCACTGCTCTAAGCCAATCAGATTGGAGAAATTTCTCATGTAGTAGTATAAAGTATGAAATTTCTCCTTTAAATGTCAATGCTTTATAAAATAGAGTGGTCATGAGAATTGTGGACATGATCACAGAGGATAAATCTTACTTTATAAACAAATTCCCCTCAACTACTTCTATTAAAAATGCACAGGGACAACAAATAATGAGAATTAAAATTTTGATATCAGGGTTTAAAGGGTTGTCCAGTGATGTACAAGCAAACTCCTACATTCACCACTGCCAAGAGGAGGGGTGGTGATGGTTGAGGCTTAGTTTTATTCAACTCCTGATGGATGTCTCATTCCTTATCTATACTGGCTACTCATGTCTGTCTCTTTGGTGTCAAAAATCTGTCCGTTGTTGTGTGTACATAGCCTAAAACCTTGTACCTTGTTTTATTGCATCAGATTGAACCTCCTGTTGCTGAAACATCATGTAGGAAATTCCTCCACAAGCCATCAATAGATATTATGAGAAACCATGGCATCATATTTACTCGTGATGGCGAGGAACATGTTTACACTGACAGTACATATTTTGTCGACTGGAACACAGCCAAGAGACTCTATGATTTTGCTGATGAAATTAAACCAATTGATTGTGAAATTGATGCCTACGGTGATTTTCTTCAAGCACTTGGGCCGGAGGCATCGGCTGATTACACTAAAAATGTTGCTAATGTGACAAAAGAGACATCATCATTGGTTGAAAAGAGGAAAAAGATTTTTGAGTTCTTGAAAGGAACACCTCTTAATCTACTGCTACTTAACGAATCCAAGTTCTACCATATTGGTACTACCAAAGAATACATCCAACATTTTTGTAAAGATCCTGTTTTCAGGTGAGATATAACATTAAAATTAATATGGCTGGCATAATGAAAAACAGGCTCCCTTTGTCTTGCTACAGCCCTGATGTTATATCAACATGGCATGACTTGGCAATGCATTAATTTATTTGTCATACATGTTAATTTCAATAGCAAGGTCCTTTGATTGTTGTTTTTTAAATTACTATTCATTTCAGGCATGAAAGCCATTTTCTGCCAGAAGTCATGGTCAAACGAACAGGAATCAGTGAAGAGAAAATCTCTGATCAGAGTTGTCTGATCCTCTGTAACCTAACACTGCCATCCACTGTGGGACAGCACACAGTGCTAGAGTACTGCGAAGTCAATGCCGGATCGTCTGTTGGCAACAACTGTATTATCAGCAATGTGCTGATTCCTGCCGGGGCACACATTCCTGATGACACTTTCATGACAACTGTCTGTGTTTCAGTTGGTGATGTGACAGGGCTGTATGTGACAGTTGTGTTTGGTGTTGAAGACAATGTGAAGAAGATGGCAAAACCAAATGATCTTGGGAAACTGCAGTATTTTGGCTTGCCACTTGACAAGGCAATGGCACTGTTAGATATAAAACAGGTGTGGATTTAAGTTTATAATGAGAGTTTTTATTAACTTGTCCATTTTTTGCTCCTTTAATTCTAATTAATGTTGATACACCTTTTTCCTCACTGTTCTCCATGTTTTGCATACAATGTACATGTTACAGGTTAAATTTAATTTCAGGTTTAAGATTTTTAACCTAAGTCAATTCTCAATTTCATTTGCCTCTTAAGGCTGGGAGACAAAGGAAATTGAGAATCAACTTAGGTTAAATCAAATTTGACCTGTAACATACATACAAACTTTAAGTCATCCCTATCATCTTTTCATTTCAACTAATTATAATTTTTCTGTTTCTGATCGGCTTATATATCCTGGCTAATTCTTCATAAGCCACTTGCTAGCCAGCGTAGCTGGTGGAATTTTTCCTTGCGAGTGTTATAGCAGCAAAGCCTCATAAAGCAGGTGCTGAACATGCAAGGATTTCAAAGTGTCTCTTCCCCGTTCTCCATGTCGAAGCACACTTCTGCCAAAATTCTCACCGATGTAACGATCCTGCCAGCTACGGGCTCTAGGTAAAAGGTAATTTGGACGGAGATTCCAGCATTTTCTTCGAAGTCACAGAGGGCTTTACTCCAGGCACCCCTTTAATTACCAGTATTGAATTTGGCTTTCATTTTATATGAATAATATTATACAGATCTGCGAGGGTGTTAACAGGCTTGATCTGGCTATAAATATTATATATTTTTCATAACATACTCAGCCTGATTCAATAATTCCATATTTCCTTGATTAAATGCCGGCCTTGGAAAAATACTGGGTGAAAACTGCTGATTTTTGAATAAACACGGCAGGTATTTAATCAAGAAAATACAGTAAATTATTTGTTATTGATACTTAACATATACAAAAACTAATCAAGAGGGTTTAATCTTTGGCAATCATTTTCTTCATCTGACCTCCCATAGTTTTTTACTGAGCAGTTAAGTGATAGCAAGGCATGTTGTGAGTAAACAAGTAGGTACAGTCGGTATATTCCAACACTGAACATTTACTATGTGACTTAATTTATACAGGAATCAGAGCAAGAGTTTGTGAGCTTGTGGCAGATGAAACTATTCCCAGCATTTTACACCTGTGAAGATTCTGTTTCCCATGCAATAAACATGATAAATTCCTTAAAGAGTGGAAATCAAGTTGACAAAGGAAAAACCACAAGCATAGGAAAGTATCTTTCCATGGAGGATGTTTTAGCATTTAAGGATATTAAAGGAACTTTAGACATTAGAGAAAATTTAAGGAAGAAGATTTTAGGGACATAGACAAAACAATGGACAAACCTCGAATGTGTAAATAAATATTGGTACTTGCGTGGTAACATGGATTAGGGTTTTGGAAATCAAGGAACTGTATTTTTAAATTTTCGGGTTTATACATAATTTAGTTATCTGCAGTATCAGATAAGGTAAAGAAAGATAGAATATGAACTTCTTCTCATTTCTTGCCTCAGAATAGCGTCATCCTTCACCTAATATTATAACATCGATAAATTATTTTAAAAGGGATAGGAGAGGGAAAAGCATCACATACTTTCACCTAGTTGTTTCACTTTTATATATAACAGCACCAAATACAAGCCAGGTATTCCTACATTGTCAATTTTGATACTTTCAGTAATTGTGGAAATAAAATATGTTGGGCTTGACGTGGATATCTTTTTTATTTCATTTGTTATCTGTATTGTTAGAACAGTGAAGTTACCTACTCAGTATCTTTGAGTGTCTCAAACATAGAGGCTTTGAGGCAAATCAGTACTTCAGTCTCCTACTTATGAAAAAATTCAACCACAGAGGACGTTTTTCTTTAGTGAGACTGTAAATGTTGATGGCAAATTCATGTAATTTTTTTGTCAAGTTTTCGGCCTCAAACTCCCTTGGATCATCGTTGTTTGTATTCAAACAAGCAGTAAAAAAGTCTCTGTGAAAAGACTTGCATTGTTTACAAAGTTCTTGGCGTATTTTCCTTTATGGCTTTAGTTTTTTGGTTACACTTGTCTGACTATCACAAGTCGTTCAAAGTGCTTTTTGTCTAATACTTATAATAATCTACTTTTCAATCACACATTCAGGAAGTTTCTTCTGTAATGTTGCAATGGCTTCTTCTCTCTGTTTTATTCCTGGTGTGTTAACAAGGTGGAGTTTTGTCAGCTTTCTGAAAAACAAAATATAAATATAAAGATAGTTGTACATTTGTTGGAAGTTCACATCTAGTTGGTGGGTTATTGAGACCAACATTTTTCAGAGACTCTGTGAGATTTATCTCTCAATAAATTGGTGATGGCCATGATAGTAATTTTACCATTTTGGGAACTGAAACAATGGTTCATCGAGGTGCAAAGTTGCCCTTCAGGAAACAAACTGTGGCTAGCATGTACTGGTCTGCATGAGAGTCATTATAACTAACCCAAACAATTAATTAATTTTATGTGCAGGATCAATACACCATTAATTATTAATTACTTGCTTTATTGTTAAATCCATCATCATAACAAGTGAAATTATTTTGCTTCGTCAGATCAGCTTGAAAAGCAGCTTTCAATCCACACAAATCAAATTTTATTAGGAATTTAAACAATTTGTCTTGAATGAATGAATGAACTTTATTTATTGAACTAAATTTGTTGTAAAAAGTTATTTGTTGCAAAAAAACGTCACCTGCTCATCAGGCAAGTTAAGTATAGAATTTCCTAGCTCCAACGCAAAACACACCAGCCCCAGACACGACTTCCTTGCTCCGAAGAGTATTCAGGAGGCAAATTTTTCATTATATTAAATTAAAGGATGTGATGTCCCTATTTCTCTAAGGATAATGGAGCATGTATGATTTCTTATGGTCAGTGAATGAATTAGCCCAAAAGTACACAGGGTCAGTAAGTTTAAGAATGATGGACACTAACGTTAACTCATAGAGTGGTGTTAGATCTGATATCCCTCCACAGTTTCCAATATCCAGTTGTTCCAAGGTTTCTTTAACAGGTAAAAGTTTCTTCATGTCAGTTACATATCTGCAGCTGTTCATGTTGAGTTGTTTAAGATGCTGCAGTCCAACTAAAAGCAGAAAAAGGAGGTAAAAACCTGTGTTGATTGAACACTGTACCAGACATCCTCTGAGACGAAAAAGAAAAAGTTGGACTTTGGCTACTAAAAGTTAAGTTATTTTATTATGCAGGGATACATAAAAGGAAACGTCAGAGGTTATCCCTATCGAGGACACTCCCTACATAAAACAGAAATTAATATACTTAATTTTACTTCGTTACAGTAGTATATCTTCTGCGCTCGTTTCTCAGGCATCATTTGGCAGGGACACCAGTGGTAGTGTCACCAAATGTTGGCTGTTTTCTCGGGCGAACTTAATACAGGTTTCATTGCATTCTGCTACTTCACTCAACATAAACTCCAAATAACTTTGAAAGAATACCAAGATGCTGAAGGCCTCCTGTTGTTATATTGACTCCTTTAGCATTGATCCCTTCCAAAGCGAGCTTTCCGACAGGCCCATCTGGTATGGCATTATAGTCCCACATCCATTTTTCAAGGCGCCTGAATTTCACTCCACCTCCACACCGCAACACCCACTCAGCTGCCACCCTGAAGGATCAAGCAACAGATTGTGTGGTTTGGGTACCCTGTGTGACAAGCCCCACCCTCCTCCAGTTAATAAGTAAGAATGCATGGTGATTAATACAAGTTATCAATATTTGCTATTTATACAAGAGAAACGTCGGGAGTTTGTCTCACAAAGACACATTTGAAAATTATAAGAAGTAAACAGAAATAAATGGGATTAAACAACAAATCAGTAAAACTTGTATATGTGAGACTTTCACCATATTCCGACAACAGATTAACAACAGGGAATGGAAAATATTGAGTCTTTTGGCATGAAAACCATTAATCAATTTTTTTAATACAATTTACCTGTCTGGGCCAAATTCTTCTATTCTCCCTTCATCTACCCTATAAAATAGTCATATATAACATTAATTTTAAAATAACTATTTTCTTAGATTGTGTAAAAATAGTTAGTCGAGATGTGAATAATTGACCAAGCTTGTTAATTCAAGATTGCTGGATGTTGGACAAGTTGTTTTGATGGGCCTTGAGTCCACCTTAGATTTGAAAAATGGCTATAATATGCAGCAGTCTTACAAACTTGTTCATTGACGGATTTGTTGTATATGGTTGTAAGAATCTCTTCTTGTGGGAACACAGCAGACAATCCTGGTGGCAACCTCAACCTGCTTGCTGAGGTCAAGATATTAAATAAAGCCACACACAAGCCAATGAGGCCCACACCTAATTTCTGTAGCACTTAATGGTATTGGTTCTCTCCCTAAATATGGCTTGCTAGTCCACCCTAAGGTTACCCCCAGAGCAGTAGTCTCTCCTCTGCAGAAACTTCCCCTAGGTATATCTTCAATAAAAATAGCAATAATTAAAAAATAGTAAGCACGCAGTGGACAATGGGAACAGAAAATATCTCCCCATTTTTTTTTTTCTCTCCCAGCCTCCCTATAACTAAAAGAGCCCTCTGCCCGCAGAGGAGACAGCCCAGCAGTATGTTGCCAATTGCCCAGTTATACATGTATGTGAGTGAAGAGAGACATACACTGAAGCAAAGTTTCTTGATCCCACCTGTGCCAGTGTGGAGCTACCCATATAATAAAATAATGTAATCATATTATTGCCTTCTCTCCCAGCAAATAATTTGTTGATATTTACCTGTTGAAGACAAAGTTTAGCCACATGTAAAATGATCTCTTTCCAAGGCCTTGAATTATGCCTTTATCCCATAGTTTCCTGTTGGTTACTGTTGCAAACTGGGTGGGTAAAAATTCAAGCAGAGGTGCATTTAAAAAATCTTAAATAATAACAGGGAACATATTCCATGATGCATCAGAAGTCATTATTAAGTGTTAGAGTGAACCTTACGAACTTTGCTAGCTTTCCTAAGAATGATTTTAAGATCCCTATTAAAAGAAAAAGAGACCCTGACCATCCCTCAAGGAAATACTGATTAAATTTATGGCCCTGTCCTCTATCTTCTTTCCTTCTTTCGTTACAGTGGAACACCAGCGGGAGGAACTGAAAGGTCTAGACCCCCGCCCCCCACCCCCCAACTCACTCATAGATCCCAAGAAGTTTTTCGTAAAATAATGACAGTACTTTAAAACTTTTTTACCAGCAAAGTTTCACATACAAGGATCTACGTTGTTGACATTTTCGAATAAAATAAATCTTTAACGGCCAGGACTGGTGAAAAAGATTACCGGTAGCTGTATAAAAATTTTAGCTTGAGCTTAATCAGTGATGTGCTTGGACCCCTCCAATAAAAAAATCCCTGAATCCGCCCTTCCACTACCACAAGTTCAAATGTCCCCTCAAAATAAACTTGATCAAAGGGCCAGTCAAAATCCAGTTCTCTTCAAAGGTAATTACGAAAACAGTGTACTTACATTCATAACTTAATTCCAATTTTTATATCATTTGCGAATAATACGTTTTCCGTCAGGCGTCCGGCCGCTTTCCCCAAAATAGCCGAGAGAGACTAAAACTAGTAGTTGCTGACCGTAAGGTAACGCTGGCTCAGTCAGACACGTGACAGAAAAGAAGAAGTCAAGATGGCGTCTATAGCAGCACTTCAACGTGACTTGGAAATAGCGAGGGAAGGGCTAAAATCCGTGGATGAGAACATCAAGAAACTAACTGGTAGAGATCCTTCGGAGTTCAGGTAATTAACTGCAGCAGTTTTATGCGGTTATCCTTTTTATCTCCTGATGTTTACATCAGGAAATGCCCTTGTTAAACTGATATCTTGATCGGGAATGATCGCTCTGCAGAATTTAAATTAAACCAAATCATGTAGTTGTTCTGTATTAGAGTGGCGGATGCATATTTGCTTGTATTTTATTTTACTTTTTTCTAGAAGAAGCGGCTTCATCTTTGACTATTTCAGTGTTGTGAGAAAACTTGAATGTTCTGTAAAGACCGCCGGTCTCGAGTTCCATTGAATGGTCATTCATATTTATCGAACCGTCAACCCGATCGGTAGATTAGATATTTGTTGCTTGTAATCTCTTTAATATTCACGAACTATTTCACATGACTGAGCTTAATGAATCCTATTTCCAACTTAAGAAGGCAAGTCACAATCTGTCAAAAGAGTACATGTAGGCTAGATTGCAAGGCTCTCCACTATATACAAGATGTGCCACGGCCTCCTAGATGGGGATTGGGGGGATTATTTGATAACAAGCAAAGAAAGGAGAACCCGGGGAAGCCATGATTTTAAATTTATTGTACCGAAAGGANTCAAAGGTAATTACGAAAACAGTGTACTTACATTCATAACTTAATTCCAATTTTTATATCATTTGCGAATAATAATACGTTTTCCGTCAGGCGTCCCGCCGCTTTCCCCAAAATAGCCGAGAGAGACTAAAACTAGTAGTTGCTGACCGTAAGGTAACGCTGGCTCAGTCAGACACGTGACAGAAAAGAAGAAGTCAAGATGGCGTCTATAGCAGCACTTCAACGTGACTTGGAAATAGCGAGGGAAGGGCTAAAATCCGTGGATGAGAACATCAAGAAATTAACTGGTAGAGATCCTTCGGAGTTCAGGTAATTAACTGCAGCAGTTTTATGCGGTTATCCTTTTTATCTCCTGATGTTTACATCAGGAAATGCCCTTGTTAAACTGATATCTTTATCGGGAATGATCGCTCTGCAGAATTTAAATTAAACCAAATCATGTAGTTGTTCTGTATTGGAGTGGCGAATGCGCATTTGCTTGTATTTTATTTTACTTTTTTTCTAGAAGAAGCAGCTTCATCTTTGACTATGTTAGTGTTGTGAGAGAACTAAAATGTTCTGTAAAGACCACCAGTCTCGAGTTCCATTGAATGGTCATGCATATTTATCGCACCGTCAACCCGATCGGCTGATCAGACATTTATTGCTTGTAATCTCCTTAATATTGACGAACTATTTCACATGACTGAGCTTAATGAATCCTATCTCCATCTTAAGGAAGCAAGTCACAATCTGTCAAAACAGTACAGCTAGATTGTTGAATTCTGCATGACAGCATTTTCTCAGACACATCATAGATCTTCCCACTTAACTTTCCTGACCTTTTCTTTACCAGATTGGTTCACCACAGGTGTTACAAATGTCTTGTTCTGCGTATTGATAGGCAACTTGGTTCGCAGTGCCTTACTTGGTGAAAAGGTGAAAAAAACACTTGTAAATAAAGTTGGTCTAACAGTTACAGTATTTATTTAATAGACCTGCAGCAGGACGGCGTGTGACATTAAAGAGGGACTTCTCAGAGAGGACCATGGGACAAGGACCAGCGGCGAAAAGACGTGATTCAACTGGTGCACAAGGAAGGTTAGTGCCATTGTTAATTACTCTCATTGCTTTGCTCTGGGTCCCTTTGCTTTAGGCTAATAACTTCTGGCATTTAACAACAAGGAAGACTTTCTTGTTGCTCAAAACACTTACTGTTGAGTACACTCAATTTTCTAGTTATGAGGCCAGTACCGTATTTTCTAGTCAATAAGTCAACCTTAAAAGTCTTTAAAATCGGTGCAAAAAAACAACCTCAACAAAAATAAACAATGGGCAAAAGATGGAGAGTAAAAAAATGCCTGATGTTCCATGAACTAGTTGAGAAGTTTGAAATGCAAAGTGACAATACTGTTGAGTTTTGACACAGCAGAGATTGGTTTCAGTTTGTGGCAATTTCTTTTGTCTTCCTTGTCCTGAAAACAATCATAGTCAAGAAGATGGCAGTTTGGAGCTCTTACTGACGTTTTCAGGTTTTTCCATAGACTTTGGAGCCGCGTGGTGACTACAAGAACATCACAAGACAAGACACGCCCTTCCTCGCGACTGGATAGTGAAGGTGAAGAAGAGGAGGAGGACACAGACAAGGTACGAAATAAATATTTAGTGCAATTAAGCTGAAGACTTCTAAACTCATTGAATTCATCTAACATAGAATCTTAAGCAGCTTTTTATCATTGTCTAGATTCTCCTTTTAATTTGCTTCATTCTTTCCTCATGCACCGTCACTTATTAAAAATGTTTATACAACACATATAAAGTGTTTGAATAATAATAATATTAATGATAATGATAAAACACTTCTATAACACTCTCCACATCCACTAGTTGTTTGTGGCGTTTTACAACAAAATTAAAAATAATAATTAATATGGGTAAATACATAAAAATAGAAATGAGAAGATATAAAACATTAAACTCTAATGATAAATTAAACCATCATTAATAAATTTTCTAAAAAGGAGGGTCTTGAATTTTTTTTTTAAAGAACAAACACTGTTTGAGTTCTGAATGTCTAAGGGAATACTGTTCCACAGTCTAAGGCCACATGTGGAAAATACCCTTTCACCATATGATTTAGTTTTGGACTTTGGTTGCAAAAGAAGTTCTAAAGAATTTGAACGAAGTGTCTTGGAATGATTCTGGTACTGAAGTAATTCGACCAAATACCGAGGGCCAAGAAGTGGACTTATATGATCAAACTTCTGAGCACCAGTTTCAAAACGAGCTGCCACGTTCTGTAGCAGTTGAATTTTTCTCGGATGATATTTGGGTAATCCATAAGAAAGAGAGTTACAGTAATCCAATTTAGAAGTTTTTATAAAATTATGTACAACTGTGGCAGATGTTTCTTTGTTAAGATACTTTCTGATCTTGAAAAGACTGCAGTCTATTGTGTTCTTGTAATAGAAAGTTAGAAAAGAAAGTGAATGTCAAGAATGAACAACTTTGATCTAAACAACTTCTCCCACATGTACATTGTATCTGTCCACATGTAACATGTTTTGTTATTGTTTTTCCTTAGCCTGCTATCCAGTCCTCAGTTGTTGCTACACCTACGCCATCTCGCCTCAAACGAGACATCATCACCAAAACTGACGATAAAACAAAATCAAGGTTTGCTGATCATTATTTTTTCCTTATGAGAATTCAGTCAAATGTGCTATAAGTGGACACCACTAGGACCAGAAAAAGTGTCTGCAGTTTGACTGTGTATCAGCTACCGTAAAATTCCGAAAATAAGCCCAAGGGCTTATATTTTTCAAAGACCCTTTTTGAGGGGCTTATGTACGGAGGGAAATTTGCGTTTCAAAATCGATTGGGCTAGCTTGTAGTGGGAAGGAAATTTACCATTTTTGCTTTGTTTTACTTTGTATTTGAGGGCAAATTCCAAGTACAAGCCCCCCGGGGGGCTTATATTCGGAGGGGCGATTTAACGGAGGGTTTTTTGCGTTACAATTTATGTGGCTAAATGTAATTTAGGCAAAGTTAACCTCGAAGCAATGCTGGTCAGCTGTTTCCCCAGCTATATTAGGGGTGGCCCGATGTCTCTAGCAGGGGCACCTCGTGACTTATATACGCAGTTGCTTGCTTGCAGTTCTTCGCAAAGTGTTGTTTCAATTGCTTGCTGTTTGCGTGCCAGTTTGTGCTTTGGTTTTTCCCATCCCTCCCTCCCTCTTGGTGTGGGCTAGGTAAGTACTGGGTCGGTAAGTATTCCACTGAATTGTTCAGTGTGACGGTGCCTGGTGGGGGCTGCTCGCAGGGTTGCCATGGATACCTCCTCCTCATGCTAGAGCATTGCCCAGCTCCACCAACTTCGAAGGCACCAACGCCCAAGCTCATCTATTGGTGATGAGTTTAATGGGGGGCTTATATTTGGAGGGGCTGATTCATGGAGGGGCTTATTTTTGGAATTTTATGGTATCTTTGGATCATTTCAATAGTCAACTTTATGGCAGAATCATTTTCACACGATGATAAATTATTAATTTTTCTAATTTCAGTGTATACAAGATTGTTGTCTGGTTGGTTGCTCTTGCGATTAAAAGAGACTCTTGGAATTTGTTTAGTTATGCTTTACGTAAATTGTCATTGAAACCTTCACATCTTTGGGAAAAAATTGTTCATTAATTTTTTATCTTTGGTGAAACACCAGTTGATTACAGCTGGTTATTTTCATTGGGTGATTGTTTTTTAGGGTGAATTTTATAAAGATATTGTCTGTTTGCTTGTTTTGGATGTTCAGGTGTCTCCATCATAAAAACACTGTTTGTAACATTGTGTTGTTATTTTTCAGAAATAAGAGGATGTTTGGCATGTTGCTGGGCACACTACAGAAGTTTAAAGATGACAGCTCTCAAAAGACCGAAAAGGTTTGTACTTACAAACTGTATTTTATGGACAGTGTTTGCCTCTTTGCATTGTATGCATGAAGCTCACTCAGCCCTTAAAGTCAAAGATCAAACTGAAAATTCTTCACATTGTCTGTAATACATTTCTCATGTTATTGGTGTTATTGATGAGGAGAATTTGGTTATAAATCAATACATTGTATCTTTGTATTTCTGTGAAATCTTAAGGATAATTTTCTCATAAATTGATCACATCTATAACTCTTAAAAACAATGTCTCTTGATGATCAGGACATACGAAGAGAAGAAATCAACAAAAAGCTTGAAGAGGCAGAACAGAAAGAAAAAGAGGAGTTGTCCTCTCAAAGAAAAGAATTGTTTACAGAAAGGAGAGCAAAGCAGGCAGAGCTGAGACTTTTGCAAAGAAAAGTTGATATGGCTGAGCTGGTAATGGAGATAATTTTCTTTATGAAAGTAGCAATAGAGTAACAACATAAAGTAGATTTGCATTTTGAACCCTTGTCTCTTCATGCGCCTTTGAGTTGTTTGTTTATTATCTCTCTTTTCCCAGCTTCAAAACTTTGTGATGGCAAATAAATTTAAGGGATAACCTTGCAATAGTGACTCCATCAGAAGGAGGAAGTATCACTGTCAGTCATGCTGGTATTAAACTTCAGCAGGGACCCTGGACCCTACTTTTGAAACATTTACCTTAACAGAAGGAATTGGAGAACTTAAGCTACGTCCACATGGCGCTGAACCAATTTCCAGCTGGTTGAAAATTTGTTTTTTTAGTTGCTCTGTTCACGCGGAACCACCTTAGCTGTTCGAAAATTCAAAGTTCTATGTGAACAGTGCAAAAAAGTGTGTGGTCAAATTTTTCTGCCAGTTGAAAGGTATTTTTCATTGCCATGTGAACTTAGCCTTAGATCATTATTATATCTTATGTATCTCTTATTTTGTCCATTTTCTAGCAAGAAGAGTGGGATAAGCATGGTGAAAAACTGAGTCACTTCATAATGACAAAAGCCAATCCACCCATCTTCTACATGCCAGCCAAACATAATGACAAGACACAGAAATTATTGGAGGAATCCACAAGATCTGTGAAAAGTAACTGAATAATAGTGGCCATAAAAATTTATTATTGTAATGTAAATAACTATTATAACAAAAAAAAAGTGCAAACTTAAATTAGTAAATTACCCATGTACTATTTGCCTGTGGGTGAATGTTGATGAAATCTAGGGTATGCTCAAAGCAATTTTGGCTGTTTAATGTGAACTGCAACATTGTTCTCTGGGTATTCTTCCCCCCTTCCCCTACCATGCCCCAATAATCAACACCTCCTTAAATTATTTGAAGTTTGACCTGGAACACAGAAACATGATTGTATTGTATGATCTCCTTAGAGTTTCAATTACAAACTTTATTGCCAAAGAAAGTACATTTAAGTTAACACTCATTTTGTTTACTCTGAAATTGCAGTTGTGCACCTTGTGACAAATCCCGCCACTGAGGACACTATTTGTATAACAAGAATATTTTTGTTTTCTAGGAGCAATGGCCAAACGCAGAGCAGAAATTGAAGAGGAGCAAGAGCAAGAAGAAGAAAGAATGAGGAACGCCAGGTTGTCTGTTGCTAACGAGGGTGAGAGTGTGAGTAAAGGGAGGGTAGATAGTGTTGAAGGTGATGCAGATGGTGATGTGGAGATGGTAGAAGAAAGCCATGGAGAGGTAAGAGAGAAAAGGAGGAAGAGAAGTGAGAGCAAAGATGCAGAGAATGGAGTCAGAGAGGAGAGGGGTGTTAGAGAAGAACGAGAGGGAGAAAGGATAGAAAACATGGAAGAGGAAGAGGGTGAGATAGATTAGGTACCAGGAACACAAAAAGTAGGGTATCAAGTTACCTTCTCGGGGTTATTTCAGTGCTTGCTGATGAGTAATCTCACCCAACCCTCCCCTCCTCAGTTAGCACATCCCTACCCTAATGCCTCCCAAACACACCCTACTTCACATATCTCATCCAGACATGTAGGTCTGACAACACTTGGATTGGTTGCGTCTGTAAAAGCTCAAGAGACTTTAAATGACTCTGATCATTTAAGTGCCCAAAATATTGAAATAAGTTTGTTCAATTCGATGGATTTAGAACGTTTTCGCAAACTGATGCAATTTGTATCTGTGTAACACATCCCTTAGCCAAAGTAAGTTAGTTTATATTCCACATTTTTCCGTTCCTGGACTGGCTTATCTAAGTTGTAGGGTGATGAAAAGTTAGGCTTTTTGTGCTCTTGTTTTAGCGGGTTGAGTTCTTATTAGTTTGTTCGTGAGAGTGACAAGTGTAACGATGCAGATGAGACTGACTTTCTTACCAAGCAACTAAGTGATACTGTGGCCAGTTAACTATTTGACTGACTGGCTGACAGTATGGCTGACCAACGAACTAGCTCTCTAACAGATTAATAATTGACTGAGTGACTGACTGACAGACAGACAACTGGCTCGCTGACTGTCTGACTAGCTACATGTAGCTGACTGACTGACTGACTGGCTGGCTGGCTAGCCAACTGACTGACCAACCAAAGCCTGTTGTGTATGGAAGGAATGCACTTTAATAGTAAACGAACATTGGAAGGGAAGTCTATCTTCTGTTTCCAAAGTTGCATTGTGTTGATTTTCCTTTGTGAGTTGAGGAAGACAAATGATTTTAATATGAGGAAAAGACTTTTAAGTTTTTCTGTTTCACCCTTATCTGAAAACATTTCTTTCAGTAACTGTTGTAACCCCTTAATAACAATAAATTTGTGGAAAACAAATAAAGAGAGAATCCACCATCCATGTAATCTCTGTGGTATGTAAATTTAATAAAATTAATATTTTATTGAAAATCTATTATCTGGCTGTCGATTCTATTGCACAAAATTTTGTTCTCACACAAGTTTCAACTGTCAGAGTTAAAATGGAAGTGTTTATGATTTATGGGGTGGGTATTTTGCTTTTTTATTTATGATGCAACATGAAACAAATGAGAACAATTATGTTTTACTAAAGTTCAGAACTGCATTGTTTGAAAGACGATTAATGCAAATCTCCGCCCAGGATTTACCCCTTCCCCTACACCCCATAACCTTGAATAAATTAATAGTCGACCCGCCCCCCCTCTCACTATTAACTACGCAGAGTTGAATGTCTCTGTGCATAGCCTGACAAGGATGCAAGCTCCAAGATGTATCTAACATCAATGTCGTAGGCCTGGGGGGGGGGGGGTACTCCCTCACATGGCCTGTATGGGAGGACAAGGTATTGTTTTCCTCCTCTCTGTCCTAAACAGGGTATACAATTTTGTGCAAGTCTGTTATAGGCGAATCTTTGCTGACGTCATTTATTGTTTACATTTTTCCTCATTAACATACGACTTAACTCATAGAAGCAGTGGCTATGTATATGAACTAAATGCAAAACTTGAAAGAGCTGATTAAGTTGAGCAATTTGTGCAATTTTCAGCTCTTTGCAAGCAATATTGAAAGAAATATCAGCCATCAAAAACTGCAAAATTGCTGTGTGGCAAAAATGTTTATGAGCCATACATTCTCTGTAAAATTTCGAGTTTTCAGAGGAGAATTTCTCCGAAACCATTCGGTATATTGGGCTAAACTTTTTCAGAGATGACTGAAACTGTTATGCCCTTTCAGTATTTGGAGTTTTTATTTTATTAATGTCATCAGATAGTGATAAGGATATGTTAATGAGGCAAAAAGTGTAAACAAAGATTTGCCTATAAATCAGTGTACATCTCCTTTCTCCTAAACAGGGTAATAAATTCGAGGGTTTTATCCTTGTTAGGAATTTTTTGTCAGGGTCTCAAACCCCCAACAGCTCATCAATTGACCACTCCAGGAAAAAACCATAACATACCACAATGTTCTTTGTTCGTCACCCCAAAATTTTGCATAAGCATTGTTTTCAGTTTCTCTTGGAAGTTAAAATTGGCCCCAAAAGAAACTGAAAACAATGCTTATGCAAAGTTTTTGTGATTTTCTGGAAGACCCTGGAGTAATATTGGCCAATATTGGTCGAGTACTCCCCGGTGCTTTTTGGTCACAGGAACCCCAGATTTTAGTAGTCGGCATACCTGTGCTCGCTTGTGCACGCGAGGAGTTTGTACTAGCTCAATCAAAATGGCGCGTAAGCGAGAACGGAGAAAGGCAAGATGCGATGTAACAACGACGTAAAGCATGTCGTTAAAAAACTCAGAATTGAAATTTCAAATCGAAACATAGATGAATTGCGCGAGCGCGCTTGTTAGAGATGTTAGCAGACAGTGCCGCGAAATAATTGCGCTGGCGGGAAGGTCGGAGAATTCTACAGATCAGAAATTATGGCTGCTTTGTCACAGAGAAGTGTCGCCAAAACTGCAGGGAAGACGGCCCAGGTAAGAAACCTTGGATGGGATCTGCGGATTCCATAGTGTAATGTAAATCTTGCAGAAGATCTTCGATAACTGGGCGTAAACGAAAATCGAGTTAATATCAAAGTCCGTTGTTCTTCGCTCAAATTTGGTCAGTTTGTTCGTGCGGGAGATTGGAACTCCAGGAAAAGCCGGTAATATGTACACAGTGTGTTATGATATTCGTGTAATTTTCATACCCTACAACTTGGAAATTCTGGGATCATAAATCCGAAGGCGGCCGGGGGAGGGGAGGTGAACAGGCATAAGCCAGTGGCAGATCTGAAAGAGAGCTCCGAGAGCCACCTTTTGCCAGAACAGGTGCGGCAGGAAATTTTTCCAAGTGTGGGTCTGACTAGTGACTTGAAGTGTGGAGGTTCCTCCACCCCTACAAAACTATCTAAGGCCTGTGGGGGTAAGATGTCAAACTACTATATTTTGTTCTCGAGACGATGGCTGCCACTTAGTTGTTACCCAAGGACCTTGATCTGCCAACATCTGCCTTGTTTCCAACCTCATGATCCGCAGGGAATGGAACATCACTCTGTGGATGAGGTTGCCTTGGTCGTTAACTGGTCAAGTTGCCCAAATTATGTTGCCCAAAATCAGAGTTAAGTTTGTACATTACCCCAGTACATGTCACTCAGTTCATTGACCTGTTATGATTTGGAATTGGTATGTCTTAGAGTTGAAAGTGAACACGAGCCATTTCCAAGGACCTGTTAGGGTAAAATTCCAACAAGCAACATGGCCTTGAAACCGTGGCCTAGTTGTTCGAGGGCTGATTAGCGCTTACCTGGGTTTCTTTTTCTTGTGTTCAAAAGCATTTCCTCTGAAAATTTTCTTGGTTATTTTTAAAGCTTCCAATAATCAACTTGTAGACAAAAAGAATTAAAACTGAAATGAATTTAAAGCTTCCATATCTGAATTCAAATCTTGCACTAACCCTGGGTTATCTTAACCCAGCTTCAAACAACTTGGCCCATAAAGCTAGATAAAATTGTGACAAATGATGTAAAGAGGCATTAAATACTGACAGGGACATGGCCTACTCTTCAAAACACAGGCTAGGGACATACATTCCCCTCCCTCTCCCCTAGGAGGGCCTCATTTCAGCTGCAAAATCTGTTATATCTTTGTGATACGGAAGTTTTATGTTAAGTTATCATTTTTAGATGTGGATTATGTGCCCTGAGCATGGCAGCAGAGTTGTTACAAAAACAAGATAACGATGGAGCAATATGTCCAATGGAGGAAGCACAAGAACTGGACAACTTGCTGAAAATGGCACAGGCAAGAGGGTTTTCTTACCAGGGTGAAATGTATTCAGCAGAAAATCTTGCCAAACTTGCCAAGGAGTTTTATGGATTTGAATATTTAGTAACAAGAACTGCATTTGAAGATACCAGTGATAATTTTGTCATCTCTGAAGTGCTGAAGGGAAATGCTGTACTGATACCTTATGATGCAGATAAAAACCATGAACCCTGCTTGGAAAATGGCCACAGAGCACACTGGGCACTTATCACAGGTCAGTTCAAGAAATGGTTCAAGGCTACCCTTTCATTCCTCTGGGTTTGTACTCTTTTGGGCTCTTCAAATTCCATGACTTTCCGTAACATTTCCCATTACCTTTTGAATTTTTCCATGAAGTTCAACAAACAGTTCAACAGACACATATTCAAGTGTCGCACTGCTGTTCAATTACTCGTCTCCATTCTACATTGTCCTTGCTTTGACATCTGCAGTGACAATCTACTGAACATACAGTAACTTAAATTTTCCATGACCTTTCAGCAAGAATTAAATTTCATGACTTTTCAGGTTGTTTCCCTGATAAGCTCTATTAACCCTGTTCCTAAGCTGCAGATGAGAGATGGATTTATTGCATTTTTCCTGTCAACTTCAAAGGGAACAGTTCATTGATTTTCTAAGGCCATCACACTCGATATGATACAGAAGATAACTCTCTGACAGCATTATTCATTACTCAAGGACAACTATTTTGTTGTTGTAGTTCTTTGCAAACTACGTCACATTCAATGCAACAGTGTGTTTAAATTTAATTATAGCGTGTGCTAAAAGCATCTAAGCTGAACACGTCAACTTCTATGCAAGCATTTTTTTTTACTGTTTTTGGAAGTCTTTATATTGATACCAAGAGAGAGTTTTAAAAAGGCTTTAAAGATGAGACAAAAATGGTTTTACAAGTTATATTGAGATGGAAAACTACTCATTCAGTGAAAATATTTATTTGAACATATATGTAACAGAAGACTTTGCAAGAAATGAATATTGCACATGCCATAGTGCATGCAGAAGACAACACAAATGTCATTCACTCTCAATCTAGCCAATCAAAAAATTGAATTTTCTTTCTTGACCAGATCTCGCCTTCAGCTTCATCAACAAGAGATCTGGGTACGAGATTATATTGAAATAATTTATTATAATAGTGACTTTTAATTATTATTATTATTATATAGTTTACAAAATAATGTATATTATTACTTACAGGTATCCTTTGTGAACTAGACGGCAACAGTTTTGATTGGACAATGTGCAAGCAAGATGACAATATGCCCAGGTTATTTCATGCAAGTCCATCCTCTAAGTTTATCTTACCTCAAAATGGCAAGTTCCAAAATACCTACTTATGTGTAAAGCATGGCAAATCAAGGCACACAGCAGTATGGACACTAGAAAGTTTAAGACGTAGCAATGCAAACCTGTTTGAATTAGATCCATCTAAAGAAAGGGAAACAGGACAGTATCTTATTCCTGAAGGGGGATTGTGTAAAGAACTTTGTGGGAAGGTAGTGGCTTTGTTTTCTAAAGCGTAGAAAACCACCAATAAAGAATTTATTCAAGAAACACTGAATGATAAGTTGCTGTTACTACTTACCTGCCAAGAAACAATGCGGTTTAGGACCATTTCAAATAATCAAGTATGATTTCTTGGCTATATAAGGACATGGCAACAGAATCAATGTTATGTTTCCCCCACAAAAGAAAAAAGTGCTATTCTTGAGATGTTTTGCCAACAATTTTATTAACCTGCAGTGAATAAGAAATTCTTCCAGACTGGGCAACTAGAAGTTTCTAACATGGTGTTCTTGATCTACCAATAAACTATTATAAAACTATTCAGGGAATCATCATATGCTGCACAGTCTACACTGAAGTGAAAAAGTCAGTAAAAAGTAGTGACATATTTTAGTAACACTTTGCCTATATGAGTTTGATTATCTTGTCATAACTAAATATTAAAAAGTAACGAAAGGGATGTAATAACACTTATATAATTAATAATATTCCATTCTTTAACAAACAAAATTTTAAACAAAATATGGCAGTTGAATCCCAATAATAAATCTAACTGTAAGTAGAATGTAAATGGTAAGTAAAACTGTAAAAATTGCCAGTTCTAGTTAAAACAATATTATTTCAAATGGGTCATTAGGGAATGACAAAATTAAATTAGGACTGTGTTACTGAGATTCAATTGTTGACAGAAACGCAAAAAAATAACTTGATTTAATTTTAATGTCTTTGAAATAGACCAGCTATTTCTTTTTGATAAATTTTTATCCCACTTTTATAATATCGTTAATATTTGAAATTTAACATTGCTTTGAATCATAACTTATCAATAAATTCCATCTGCTGGATAACATACACATTTTCTCATGGTACTTTAGGCCTTTTGAGGGCATTATGTCTTTGAATGAGGCTTCATGTGAGCACTGAATGTGACAGTTAACCAATTTTTTAAGCACATGCTATGTTGGGTTCAGTCTCTGGTTACATGGTACACTTTTGCCTACAAAATGCACCATTTTACCATGAGAAAAAAGATTTTTGACAAAATTCATTCAGGTAATGCTGCCCAGGGTATATGAATATGTAACATACCTAAACAAGAAACGATGCTTTTTTTGTTGTTTCTTATAAAGGAAAGAATATTAACCCTTGAAAAAGTAAGTGCTCACAAGTGCATTCCACAATCATGGAAACAAGACCAACAATCTTTATACAACGCAATTTAGTTTAATTTTTTTCAAAAGAAGCTTTTCTAAGGGTGCCTTCCGTTCGTCAGAACTAGACTGCAAAATAGTGGGGTTTTTTTTTCAGCCTTGCTCCAGACCTTTTGTTTAACTGTTTGCATGTACTTGAATATACAAAAAGTATGGACGGTCTTGCAGTTTATGTCCGAACTGACCAGTCGGACCATTCCTGTTGTAATGAGAATCTCTCTTTTAATCAAAACTATCCAGCCAGATCAGTCAAATGCTAAATAGTACGCATGAAGGAAATTCTTTTTATCAAAAACTCTTAAAAAAAGCCCATTTCATTTTCAAAATGACTGATCCGGCCACGTTCCGGCCAGCCAGTTCTGACTTTTGGAAAGCGCCCTAAGATGGCAAGAGAAGACAACTCACTTTCCTTAACCTGTGCTAAGTTTTTTGTTCAGCTGATCAATACCACAGCCCTGTTTTTCCAAACAAATTTCAATCCAGAACTGATGCTCAATAAATTACATTTGTAGATAATCTTTGAAAAACTGCTAAATTGGCTTTGATGTTGACACCACTCCTGGTCTGGCTAATGACATGGCATAAAGACCAGGATGCAAGTTGATGTAATGGGGGAGCTAGAAAAAGTCAGCTTTCCTACAAATTTTCTGGGGTTGCCTATTTAGATGTAGATAAAAGATTTTGTAACATATCAAAAAACAATATTGCAGTGCAGCATTTTGCACCCCTTGGCAAAAACAGAAACAAAATAAAAAAACAAGATTGTGAGAGCTGCTGATGTTGGGTGCCAAACCATTAATAGTCAGGTCTCTTAAGGTCAGGATCGTTACAGAGCTGACAAAAGCACCAAACTTTGCACAGCGATAGCTTATTGCAGTACCATGAATATTAGAGGGGGTGCCCAATGCAAATATGCCACTGAAGCGTGCT